GTCGTGGGGGCCGCCGACTGCGGGACCTTTCTCCTTCAGCTCCCGGACTCCTCCGTGGTTGGCGGAGGAAGGAGTAAAATGAGACGGCGCCCACCGAGCCAGCCAGGAGTCGAACCTGGAATCTTCTGATCCGTAGTCAGACGCGTTATCCATTGCGCCACTGGCCCTCGTGCTAAGTTGAGGGCGGCGGCTCATCTTCATCAAAATCAGCCCACGGGGCACCCGTCGAAGCCAGGGTGGGTGCGCCGGTCCCCGAGGGTCCGATCCCTCCCTCTCAGGCCCTTCTGAGGGTAACCTCCCTCCCGGGAGGGGATTTATAATCTGATAGAGCACCGGAATTAACCTGAAAAATAACCATAGCGATAAAGTCAAAACTACTGAAACACAATTGTGATCTGTTGCCCATATTCATAATGGGAGAAAACGCAGAGTTTCAGTTATTACTTGTTATGTGTTCAGAATTATATGCCCGCCACAGCCCGGCCAAAGCCCCACCAGCTGGGACCGCTGCTTATCAATACGTTGGCTGCAAGCACTGGAACGACATGATGGCTCCTCTTACAACAGCAAAGAAACGGGTGCTTATTTCATGGCCTTCCGATCGAACTGTGGGTTGAGTTCATCGCCTTTTAATCTCAACAAAAACAAGACATCTAGCAGAGTCCTGCTGCCCCCGTCACGGATGCAGGCGGAAGTAAGGCCTTAGAGTGTGACCGAGAAAGCCCCCCGATTGGTACCGTTTAGAAATACAGGTCTCAGCGTCGTCGCCATGACAACAGACACGCAGCAAGGCAGCCGCTCAGAATCGCAGGCCTCCGTTGGGGAGAGACTCCCACAGCTATGGCGACAGTTTGTAAAGGGCTCAGTTTCACTACAGCTGTTCGTTCAGATTTCCGTTACCAGGCAGAGGATAAGCTGGGAACCGCTACACACACACACACACACACACACACACACACAACCCCCCCCCCCCCCGCCGTGGGAAAGTACAAACTCCAGGGAAGGCTCTCAATTTGACATCTTATCAAAAGAGAGCCTTTGGACAAGTTTTAGGACAAGGAAGTGGCTCTTCCTGTGGCTTCAGAGAGGGAATCGCTGTTTCATTTCTTTCCAAGACCAGGTTTTCATGGCGAAGCCTGCGTTTTTAAGATGCAGCTCTAGAACTGTATAAGTTAACTTTATAAGCTACAAGCAGGCAGGTGGAACCCAAATCTACGGAAAGACTTGGGGTAAGGAATGACTGGAACTTGAACTGAAAACCGTGAGGTAGAGAACATAGAGCTTGCTTCCCCAACGGACCTGTTCTTGGGGCTAGATCTGTTCTAGTGTCCAAGTGTCCCAGGACCGGAGGAGGCGTGTCTCCGCGTGAAGGCGGCTATCCCCTCCCCTACTCCCCTCCCCTCATCTCCTTCCCTGCTTCCCTCCCCTGTTCCCCTCCTCTGATCCCTTCCCCTTAGTCCCCTCCCCTGCTCCCCTCCCCTGCTCCCCTCCCCTGTTCCTCTCCCCTGGCCCTCTGTTCCCGCGCCCACGCCGGGAGGGCTCAGACTGAACCCTCGCAGGCCAAGGCTCATCTTTAGGGTCTTGGGAAGTATTTGGGTTGCTCCTGGCCCAGGAGATAAGTAAATAAATGCGCCCAATAAAATCAAAGGTCTTCCTCTTTCCTCATCGATTTGGACGCGAGCCGGCGTGCTGGCTCCGTGGCTTAGCTGGTTAAAGCGCCTGTCTAGTAAACAGGAGATCCTGGGTTCGAATCCCAGCGGGGCCTTTTCCTTTTTTTCTTTTTTCGGGTGTGGCTTTCGCCCTTTCAACAAGGAAATGGGTGATCAAAATGAAATCTTAAGGGTACATTTTCTCTATGGGGGCTCACAAAAGTGTTTTACACGGATCTGAGGATGGACTTTCTTATTATTTACAAAAATAGCACGAAGATGAATTTGTTGCTCTTTTGAAGAAAATGTCCATCCTTCCTGTTTTTATATTTTTGTTCCACAGATTATCTTTTCATGGAGTACAAAAGGAACCAGGGAAAGCAGAAGGCAAAGTCACCACATTTCAACTACAAACTGACACCTCTGCTCACTCCTCTTTCACACGAACGCCCTTTCACACTCTGCAGGCAACGTTTTTAGAAAGGAATGACTGACACATGTGCTGTGGAGAAGGCTGCAAACACTTCTGAAATCCTACCTGATATGTAACACGTGTAAGGGGCTGGGTGTCTTGTTGCGTGTTCTGAGTTTATCTCGCTGCACGCTGAAGATGGGCAGGCTTTTCTGAAAGGATGTTACACTGCAATAAATCATTTTCAAAAGGAGGGGTGGGGGGAAGAAAGGATGAGCAGTTTCTGTGTCTAGTAGACCCCGTAAAGGGAGCACTTGACCCAGGTTTCCACCACAGCCACTTCTGTAAACACACCTGAGAGGTTTCTGAAATCTTAGGATCACTCATTCTGCCCCAAGTGACAAAGACAGACGCTGGCAAAGCATTTGGCAAGATGGCATGTCTTCTCTGTTAGAAGACTCAGAAATTACCAACTCAATGTCCCCCAGGCACTGGCCCCTGTGCCAACTGGAGAGGGCTGCCCAGGGGCATCTGATAAGGTTTGCTTCTGGGTGCTTGGTGCCCAGAGGCTAGGGCTGGGGAGAGGAAGGACACAGGTGTTCCCTCAGAGCCTGTCACCTGCTCAGTCCTGGCCTGGTGACCATTTTCCTTGAAGGGAAAAAGGAAGTGGGGTGAGGGGTGAGGTTGTGGCGCTGATTAAAATCTGTAACCGGTTTTCTTTCTACTCTCAGCCAGGGGTTCCTGTGGCAGCCCCATCTGTTCTGGGTGAGGTTTCACATACACATTTCAGGGTACACACCAAACCAGCAAAGCAACTGCCTGAGGTTTCCAACTTGTTATTTTTTTTAAAGTTAGTTTTTTTCTTTCTTTGACTTTCTAAAAGCATAATTTGAACACAAATGAACACTTTTAAAGTAGGAATCAATCATGTTCTTCTCCCAGCCATAGAGTGTGGGTGGGGGGCACATGGTGGGCAGTGTGGGGTGAATAGTGTTTGAGGCAGGACGAGGACAGGACTCGAGACTCACACTATCCCTCTGGGCGGCAGAGCTGGCTGGTCAGAACCTCTGGGACGTGGCTGTGCCTGGTCCTTGCCTGGGGCCTTCAACAGTGGTTTCCACCCAGATCACCAGGTCTGTTTGTTTGCTTGCTTCCCGATTCCAAGGCATTACCATGAAAAGTTTTCCAAACATTTCCTCCTCTTGGAAAAGCATTTTTAAAATTCACAGACATGGCTTCCTCACTTGCACCAGAATCACCTTTTTTAGTGGTGAACATGGAGTCAGCACCCACACAGGGGCTGAGGGTGAGCAGCCAGTGGGCTCCGGGCCTTTGTGTGAGTCCCTGGGTTCTCCTGAGATAGCAGCTCCTGGGCTGCCTGCCAGGTGAGCCCATCCACTGCTGTCAGGCTCCAATGGGTCCCAGGAAAATAGAACCACAATGTCAGTAAGCATCATGTCTTCTTCTCAGGAGTGTGTCTGTGTGTGTGAGAATTATATATTTTTTATTGATTTCAGAGAGGGAGGGAGAGGGGGAGAAAGAGAAACATCAATAATGACCCAGAATCATCCATCAACTGCCTCCTGCACGCCCCACACGGGATTAAGCTCATAACCTGGGCATGTGTCCTGAAGGGGAATGGAACCGTGACCTCCTGGTTCATAGGTTGCCGCTCAACCACTGAGCCATATTTGCCGGGCCTTTCCTCCGTTTTTGTCCTGGGTGCACTCGTTGCAATAAAGAAAGGAAGGTGCAGCAATCAGACAGACTTGTTTATTAGGTTAAGACCATGGGTGATGTTGATCCTGAACGTGAGAAAGTACAATCCGAGTAGGAGATGTGAGTGCGGACAAGTGTGCAGCCTGTTGACCAGAGGTGCCTCGGGTATAAGGAAACTCGAAAACAGACAGGAGCAATCGGGCTCGCCGTGCTGAGCAGGGACACCAATCAGGGGACCCAAGGAGGAGGGCGTGGGAGGAAGGCTGTGTGGGGAGAGAGCGCACAGGCCACAGTTTGGAAATAGGGAGCTGTTGATGCTCAGGGAAGAGGTGTTTGAGGGCGGTTACACGGGACATTGGGATGATGGCTGAGGGGGCACAAGGCTGAGATAGTGGCTGATGAAGTGATGATATCCCTGAGGAGATGATTTCTGGAACAGCCTCTGAACAGGAGCGAGTCCAGATCATGAGGAGGAGAAGGAGAAACTGTGGGGCCCACAATGTGAGGATGGAATAACCCCCAGGCAAGGGAGCAGCAGGCTGGTGCAGAGAGGAACGGGGTCTGAGACACTGCTGTGCACACAGCTGTCTAACACCCTCCTCCCTGTCCACCTCCTGTCCAACACTCTGGCTCTGCTCCTAGCATCTCTCCTCCACTTCTCCTTCCAATCGCTCAGACTCCACAGTGGCAGGGCCCGTTTCTCCCCGCCCCATAGGACAAGCTTAGGTATTTGGGATACAGGCCCTGACTCTGTAGGGGCAAGCCAGGCGGTCATCCCTGGTCTAGGGTCACCTCACTTTTCTTCATCCCAGTGTCCCCTCCAGGTTCCTTGATGGGGTGTTAGCCTCAGGTCTTCTGTTCCCAGAATCCTTTGGGGTTTCTGCTTGCCTGTTCCTCCACATACCCCTTGTCTGGACACTAGGATGGTTGTCATCACCCCATGACCATCTAACCTGACCCCATCTCGATCCCTGAGCTGTCTGTTGAGTTTATTTCAAGTCCTTCTCTTTAGGATGTGGCTTCCAGCGTAGGAGAACAGATGTCGTTGAAGCGTCACTGACTATGGGTACAGAAACAGATTAGAAAGGTCCTACACCCCACGCTCTCCAGCAGCAGCCACACAAGCTTCCCAAGAAGCCACGGGAGCTGGGTGAGGCCTCAGGGGGTGGGGTGGCAGAGAGGGGTGAGAGCAAATGGAAGCAGCTAAGCTGGAATCAGCCTTAAGGTGTCCCCTGGTTGGCCTGGGTAGAGATGAGTTTGGAATGAAGTGTGTCTGTGTCCCCAGAGGCAGTGTCCTCCCCTAAGGGGGACAGTGGGATCTCCTTGGCAGGGTCCTTGGCCTCAGCCTCCACCGTGACTTCCTCCAGCCCACCCGTGACTGGGCAGATCGTCAGGGGCTTTTTGCCAGAGGACCAGAGGCAGAAGAAGGGCCGGAGGGGGCCAGAGAAAGAGGCCTTGGAGAAAGTGTAGATGTGGGACCCGTCCATCATGTTGTAGAAGGCCACATCTCCTGAATCATAGTCCAGGAAGATCCCCACCCGACGGGGAGGTCCCGCCAGGGGGAGAGGGGTCCGGAGCGGGGTGAGGGCCCAGTACCCATTTCCATACAGCTCCACAGCCCAGAACCCATTCTTGGGAGTCATGGGGTCAAATCCTTTCTTCATCACATCCTCTCTGCACACCCCGATGGCCCAGTCGGTCCTATCCCCCACCTCCACCTCCCAGTAATGCCTCCCGGAAGTGAAGGCCTCCCGCCCCAGCACACAAGGCCAGGAGTCAAAGCGCTCGGGTTTCTCGGGCAGTTTCTGACGTGCATCTTCCAGCCGCACAGACTTGGAATCCTCATGCAGAAAGAGGTGAGGGTGGGCGGTGTCTGGGTCCAGAGTCACATCAACTAGACACGGAGAGGAAGCGAGTCTGAGCAGGCATGAATTTGTGAGAGATTGCAAGCCCTGCTCTCCCTTCTCCAAAGAGATAGGAACACACACACACACACACACACACACACACACACACACACACACACACTGAGAATTCCAAGGAGAGCTGAGCTGTTTGGCCTGCTCAGCTGCCTCTATTCCCTTCTTCCCTCGACAGCCACAGGTGATGTACAAGCTGATTATCCCCAGGGCCTAACACCGAGTGTCAGACGGGCTTGTGTATCCATTTCCCACTCAGGCCGCTGCGTGCCTCAAGGAAAAGTTGATGCCATCTGCCACCTTTCCACTCTCTCTGTCCTCATCTCTAAAAGCTGTTGGTGCTTTGGTTTCCAACTATTGTAGGACTTTGAGTCCCTGGGGGTGGAGCCCTTGAGAGGTTGAGAGTCACTGACCTGCATGTAGTGCAGCCTTCTTCCACTCTGCAATGAGACAGAGAGAGAGACAGTCACTGAAAGGTTTTATAGGAGAGAGTGAGAGATAGAGATGAGAGATGAGAGAGAGAGAGAGAGAGAGAGAGAGAGAGAGAGAGAGAGAGAGAGAGAGAACCTTGAGTGTGGAAATAATGACAAGAAGACAACTTACTGAGCTCCTTCAGGAGTTTCTCTGGAAAACAAACAGAATAAAAAATGACCTTCTACAGTGGACATGATGAAAGGGGTGGGGGAAAAATTGGTGTGAGAAAAGCACAAAGGAGTAACTGTTACATCGTGACTACTCAATTACTGAAATATGATCAATAGTGAAGAACAGGAATTGTGTTGTTTTCTAAGAACTGTGCAGGAAGTTCCTATTGGCTTGGATCATATCTGTAGTCGTTACTGGGAAACTGAGGTAAAAGTGAGGATAGAGCCTCAGGGTGGGTAGTGAGAAAACTTCAGGTCTAATACCTGTCAGAACCGGTTCTGACCCAGCCTGCACCCAAACCTCTGTCCTTGCTCAGACTGAGTATCAGTGACTCCAGGGGCCTTATAATCACCTCTGACTTTCAGAATTCCAGAGTCTGATATCTCCCACTGGCAGTTATCCTACAGGACTTGGATCCAACCTCACTCGGATGTACTCCCAACAAGCACACCCCGACAAGGGGTTCTATGATTTACCTGTAGAGCTGAATTCACCCTTCCTCCGTCTGGACCTCTCCTTGTATAGTCTCCAGGTGAAAAACATGAACCCGATGGTGAGAACTCCTAGGACCACTGAGGTGACAGCCACAGCCACCACCCAGGGAATCAGCCTTGGGAAGAAAGGAGCTGAAACAAAGGACATTTGTTGAGAAACACTGAGCAAGTCTGGCTCCTCCTCTGGTTCCAAAGGGACTCGGAAGACGGCATGATCTGGACCTCTCCCTCCCATTCCTTCTGAGGTGAAAACAGTCCCTCCAATGCCACTCAGGCTTTTCAGGGGGGAAAAAAATATCTTAGGTTGGAAAAAGCAGAGGAAGAGAGGAATGAAGATGAACACGAGTCATTTTGGGACAGAACAAGAAAAACATGGACAAATTCATGTTGTTATGGGAATTCCTCCTTAATGATCAATGGAGGACCTGAGCCAAGAGGACAGGGAAGTAACTCAGGAAGGGGAAGTATCACCTCTGGGTGCAACAGCACAGACTCGGTGACCCAGGGAGAAGGAAGTTCCTGCCTGGACCAGAGGCAGTGGGTAGGGAACAGTGAGAAGACTTGCTTTCCCAAGGACCCTGGGCAGAGCTCTCGCCTGGGATGGAGGAGAAAGGAGCAAGGGCAGAAACAGAACAGTCTTAGTTTTCCTGTCTGGTCAAGGATAGAGTCTCGGGATCAGGAAGGCTTGCAGGAACAAAGCTTCTCTATCCAAGGTGCATCTCCAAGCTAATATGGATTTTCTGCAAGGTCTTGATACAGTTTATGCCTTCAGAATATTTTTTTAAATATATTTTTATTGATTTCAGGGATGAAAAGAGAGAAAGAGAGAGGCAGGATAGATAGATGGTTACATAGATAGATAGAAACATCAACGATGAGAAAGAATCATTAATCGGCTGCCTCCTGCACACCCCACACTGGGGATTGAGCCTGAAACCCGGCCTGTGTCCTGACCGATCATCCAACCGCAACCTCCTGGTTCATAGGTCGACGACGCTCACCCACTGAGCCATGTCGGCGGGGCTAGAACCTTTACTCCAAGTGAACTTCCTGGGGCTCCCTCATGAGAGTGGGTGGGGGTGGGGTGGATTTTAGGTGAAGAAAGTAGGCTGCTCTGCCAGGAGGTCACGCTTCACATAGGGGACCCAGTGTTGGGTTCACTGACCTGGTATGGAAATGTCTGCTTCCTTCTCCTGGCCAAGGAGGACGTTCTGGATGCAGCAGGACACGTTGTTCACGGCGGGGTCCCTGATGGCCACAGAGGCCGCTACGGTGAACAGGCCTTCTCCGTCAGGATGCCTGGACTCTGATGTGGAAGAGAACGTCTCTCCCGTGGGTGTCCTCCATTGCACCTGGGGCTCCGGGTACCACCCCACCGAGGTGCACTCCAGCCGGGTCTCCCCGTTGTCTTGAATGTCCACATGGATGTGAGGGTCAGAGCCCAGCGCTGCAGAGAGAGAAGCTGGTCTTACTCCTTCAGGGGACACCCCCTGGGAGCCTTATAACCACATGGCTGCATGGATTGAGAAAGAAGAGCACAGGAGGATGGGAGTGAGGGGACTCCTCTCCATACTGCATTACACAGGAAACGAGGTGTCAGTACAAGGCATTTCATAACCTCATTAGAAAGGGGTGCCAGCCCAGCGGGCATGGGTCATAGGTCAGCCAGACACCAGACAGACAGTCAACCTATGAACCAGGAGGTCAGGGTTCCATTCCATGTCCGGGCACCTGCCCAGGTTGCAAGCTGATCAATGATTCTCTCTCAGCATTGACCTTTCCATCTCTCTCTCCTTCTCCCTCCCTCTCAGAAATCAATAAAAATATATGTAAAGAGAGGCGCACGCCTCCAGGAAGTCAGGGAAAAGGGCACTCACCGGCCACCCGCAGGCGCACGCGGGCCTCTCCCTGGCCTGGGCCGTCCTCCCGCCGGAAGGAGCAGCGGTACTCGCCGTCGTCCGAGGCCTGGACCCCCCGGATCCGGAGCGCCACGCGGCCCTGGGCCAGGCCATCCAGCACCAGCACCACTCGGCCCCGGTATTGGGCCAGCTGCTCGGCGTCCTGCGTGTTCCCAGCACGGTGCACCAGCAGGGCCAGGGCCTCCGGCTCCCGCAGCCACCGCATCTCCAGGGGCGCGGCGCTCAGGTTCGCAGGCAGGTGGCAGGGTAGCTCCGCGTCCATGCCCACCAGCGCCAGGATGGGCTCCGGCGGCCCCACCACATCGAAGGGAGCTGCTGGGAACCGGACAGTTAGACACCAGACAGCTGGACACCGGGACAGCCAGACACCAGACAGCCAGACACCGGACAGCTAGACACCAGACAGCCAGACACCAGACAGCTAGACACCAGACAGCCAGACACCGGACAGCCAGACATCAGGACAGTTAGACACCAGAGAGTTAGACACCGGGACAGTTAGACACCGGGACAGTTAGACACTAGGCAGTTAGACACCAGACAGTTAGACACTGGGGCAGTTAAACACTCCCCGCCCCAGGACAGCATCCCCACGCTCATTCCTGGAGCAGTCCACCCCACGGCACCCACCTGGCCCAGGGGAGCCTCCAGGGAGAACCAGTGGGATCATTTCTGTCTACCCTGCAGCCAGGGACAGTGGGGAGACCCACCTGCGCCTGGTCCGGGATCTGCATGCAGCCCGTGCAGCTGCAGAAGCAGGAGGGTGAGCAGGTACCCCCTGAGGCAGGGGCTGGGGAAGGCAGCCATCGCCCTCATCTGCCGCAGTCTGTGGGAGCTTCGGCCTGGAAGACAAAGCGCAGTTCTTTCCCCCTCGGAGGGCACTAGGCCTTGCACAAACCCCCCTCACCCCCAGCCAGCCATGGGCCTGCCCGCCCATCACCCTAAGTTCGACCAAGCCCGTTTATAAGAACCCAATGGGCCCCCCCCCCCCCCCGACCCCAAGGAGACAGGAAACTGGCGCTAGGAGACATGGTGCCCATGAAGGGGCGAATCTTGGAACCATTGTTCTGCAAAACCCCCGTCTTTCAAAGACAGGGGTTTGGCATTTGCTTCCAACAATGATGACAGAGATAACCCGACAGAGGGGTGCTGGGAATGAAGGGGGACAAGAGGAGAGGTGGGAGAAGGACAGGGAGGGCGCTGAGAGCTGAGGGTGGGCAGTGCAGAGGGGAGAGGACATGCCTCCTGGATCTTAGATCCTGGGCACTGACCTGGCTCCTTGGAAGAAAGGGCACCTGCCAGGCTCTGCCCCCGAATGAGGAGGCTGGGCATGCCCCAGGGTTGAGTTAAAGCCACAGAGAAGGAAGGGGCAGTGCCCTCAGGAGCGCCCTCCCCCTCCCATTCCTGACGTGTTTAGTTTGGAAAGTTTTCCAGGGACAACGGGAAGGTCTACTGCTCAGAGAACAGGGTCTGCACTGATGCTGAAGCCCTGGGTGGAGTGAACAGGAAGGGGGCAAGAAAACGCTGGGATGAGACGGGCAGCCTCCATTCTTTTCTCTCTAAAATGGGAATCTATACTAATAAAAGGGCAATATGCTAATTAGACTGGGTAGACCAGATGTCTTCTGGACTCCTTTAAAGCCATGGTGGTGGGGCTGAGGCAGAGGCAGTTAAGGGTGATCAGGCTGGCAGGCAAAAGCAATTAGGGGCAATCAGGCTAGCAGGCAGAGGTGGTTAGGGATGATCAGGCCAGCAGGGGAGAGCAGTTAGGGCTGATCATGCCAGCAGGGGACAGCGATTAGGAGTGATCAGGCCAGCAGGGTAGAGCAGTTAGGGGCATCAGGCAGGCAGGCAGAGGGGTTAGAGCAATCAGGCAGTCAGGCAGGTGAATGGTTAGGAACCAGCAGTCCTGAATTGCGAGAGGGATGTTGGAATGCTGGCAGTAGGACATCCCCTGAGGGGTCCCAGATTTAAGAGGGTGCAGGCCAGGCTGAGGGAGCCTCTCTCTCCCCCCCCCCCCCCATGCATGAATTCCACACATACATATGCATCCACCCACGCTGTGCATGAATTTTGTGCACTGGGCCTCTAGTATTGTTAATAATAACCTCATCCAGAGAGGTATCGGAGGATTAAATGAGGTTAAGCATGCAGAGCACAAAGCATACAGTAGGGACTTAAAGGTGGGTGGATTTTATTTTTTATTATTTATGTGGGCTGAGAATTCAAGGTAGGCTGTCCATTCCTGTGTTTGGTTCCATTTTCAGGGCCCCAGGGTGGCCTCCCTGGGAGCACCTCATGTGGCCTGCAATTCCTATTTGAGGATGAACCTCTTGTATGGGAAAAAATAAAAAAATATGGGAAAACATTTTTAAAAAAAGCAGAAACCACTCATAAGGTCACCAACTAATGACAACCTCCACTCACATGTTAGCGTCTTTTCTCCCAGGGTTTACATGTGCATGTGCATCAAAAAACAGAACTGATGAGGTTTTTGCATAATTTGAATTATTATAATTTGATTAACAGTTATGTGATACCATATTATAGGTTCTAACAGTTCCCAAGATTGTGGGCATCTTGTTGGGGTTTTTTTTGTTTGTTTTTTTGTTTGTTTTTTTTGCCTACTATACACAGTACATATTACACAGAGGCTTTGTCCTTATCTTCGGTGACTTCCTGATACGCTTTCAGATAAATTCCAAGAAATGTAGTCATTGGGTCCAAGGGCATGAACAGGCTGCCCAAGTTCCTTCCTGGAATGCTGAACCTCTCTCACCGTCAACGGATCCTCCTCCTCACCTAACCCTGCCTGCACCGCAGAAGTGGATCAAGCTTCAATCTTATTTATTTATTTTTTATTTTTATTGCTTTCAGAGAGGAAGGGAGAGGGACACACAGAGAGAAACATCAATGATGAGAGAGAACCATGGATTGGCTGCCTCCTGCACACCCCACACTGGGGATGAAGCCTGCAACTCTGGCATGTGCCCTGATCAGGGAATTGAACCGTGACCTCCTGGTTCATAGGTTGACACTCAACCACTGAGCCAGGCCGGCCAGGCTTACCATGCATTTATATAACAGTGAGGCTAGTCACTTCTCATATTATCCACTCAGTATTTTGCAGAAATGAGCTCTTCAGGCCAATCACTCATTGGTTTCCTCAGATGTCAGCTCTGGATTATATTTGTGGCAAAAATTACCACAGTTTAGTCCTGGACTTCTAATTGGGACTATGATGAAGACCAAAAAATAATTGACCCACCGGACTGTTAGGAGAATGACTTTCCAAATGCAAATCTGATTATTTCACATTTTGCTTAAAAATCCCTACATATGCCCAGCTGGTATGGCTCAGTAGTTAACCATTGAACCAGGAGGCTAGGATTTGATTCCCTGGTCAGGGCACATGCTCAGGTGGTGGGCTCGATCCCCAGTGTGGGGCGTGCAGGAAGCTGCTGGGATCAATGGCTCTCATAATTGATGTTTCTGTCCTCTCCATCACCCTTCCTCTCTCTGAAATCAATAAAACATATGTATTTTTAAATGCCTACACATCTCCCTAGTAACCCCAGCACCAAGTTCAGGCACCTTAATCAGGGCATGAAAATGCTGTAGGAAAGAGTGTTCTCCTGTTTCCTTTCTCTCCTCTATTTTCTCCAACGGCCTACACACCCACCGGAGGAATTTGGGTGGAGATGTGGCTGTCTCAGCCCACAACACCCTGCTAGGCCTTAAGATGGTAGTGTTGTCTCCCTCTCCCAGCTGCTGGGTTTCCACGAATTGTGGGGATGCCCTGAAGAAGGGTCTGGCTCATGGTTTTGGGCTTGTCTTCTTTGCCTGTGCCTCACCAAGCTAAGATAAGGACTGGGGGAAGGCATCATGGAGGGCACTGTGTTCTGTGGCTCGTGACTGAGCATTGGGTCTGGTGCTCTTCCCGGGGCACACACTGCTGGCACGCTGGTAATAATCAGATTGGACCCACGGATGGGTTGGCATGGTAGCAATGACCTCAGTGCTGATTGACCAAGCCCGTGCTGAATGTATGTGCACTGTGCCCCTCGGAGTCTGTGTAGGGGAAGTGCTGGCAGGGCAGTGAGGAGGCCTGGGTGGCATGGTGACGGGTTTCTGTGTGGAAGAGGGACTCTTGGGGGTGGGAGAGGTGAAAAGACCCTAGGGCCAGGCTGAGTGGGAACACTGCTGCATGGAGAATTCCCAGAATAAAGTGAAAGGGAGATAGAACCTCAGAGGAGCCAGGGAAGTGAGGTTGGAGTGAGCTTGCAGGGAGGGTCCAGGGAGTCTGATGCACCTGAATTTCCCCCAGAACCTACCCTTCTGCAGCCCCTCCCTGCCACCTGGTGGGGTGAGCCCTCCAGGAAGGGCTACATTCACGGGGGTTCTAGGAAAATGGGGACTACAAACCTTAGGGACTTTTAGGGGTGGGCCAGGAATTCATTCACCTTGCTTTCTTCTTGTGGGGCACCCAGGAGGCAGCCGATTAATGATTCTCCTCATTGGTGTTTCTACCTCCCTCTCCCTCTCTGAAATCCATAAAAATATATTAAAAACAAACAAACAACAAAAACACACGGAAGTCCAGCTAAGCACTGTGTGGTTTCATTTTCGGCGTGGGGAATTCATTTTGTTATAATTTCCTTCTTCCTTTTCCGGGCTCTTCTCCTTGAAAACTCCCTTCCCAGTGGATTTAATAGCTCCAGTGCATGAACTGCAGGGAGCGGCTCCCACTCTCCCCATTTGTTGCTCCCGGGAAGCCTCCCTTCCAACCCCAGTCTTTATTTGACCTGAGGCCGGGCTCACCCACTGAGGACAGCCTTTCCTGCTGGGGTATCTTTTGGAAACAATTAGTGGCAAGTATTTCATTGGCATCTGCCCAAGATTGCGCACCTTCTCACATGTGTAGATGTGGGGATCCAGACTCTTAAAGCCAGACCAGGTTTGCAAAACACAGTGCACAATGCCACTCACATTACTAGCATTTATTTTGCTCTGCAAACAAGTCATCTTGCGCAAAAATGTGTTATTGTTGTTAGCCATAACCTGTTTATACTGTCAGATAAATACAGATGGACAAACGTATCTTTGAAGCGTTTCAGTCCAGTATAATATATACTCGCAGTTGTAAGCAGAAGCAAGCAGAAGCCCTCCGGGGCCTCAATAACATTCCGTGAATAAAGACATCCTGAGACTGCGAAGCCGGAGACCAGCGGCTTGGCTCCGGAGCCCAGGCCTTGTGAGGATCTGGCTCACTGCTCACCTGTGCAGCCGGGGCCTTAAGCCTCAGGTCACTCTTAAGGGTAAGTGCCACCACCCGGGTTTTGGCCGGGACACCTGAGCCAGGCCCAGTCCCCGGGGAGCCTCGTCTTTCACTCTCTGTCCTCTTTTCCATCCTTTCAGCCGGGGCGCTTCGCTGTGTAGGCGGCAAACCCGTGCCAGCGGGGCTGGGCCTGCAGGTGCTGGGACCCTGGGCCCTCTGGAGGGGGCTCAGCCACACGAGGGCCAGGGCCAGGGTCCCTGCAGCCCCTGGTCCCTCTCCCTCACCCCTGACCTCCAGGGTTGCTGTCAGAGCTCAGCTCCCGGAGCACCTGCTGGCCTCACCCCGGCCCGCGGTGCGGTGTCTGGTGTCCACTCCAGCTCGATGCTCCCTTGTCACCTGACGCCAGGCCAGGACTGTCTCTCTCCTGGGCTGGAGCTGCGTGGGACTGACCTGGCCCCTGCCCCGTGCTGGCCGGCAAGGGAGCAGCTGCTGCAGCCGCAGCCTCCCGGGGCGCCGGGCCTGGGCTGCGAGGGTGCGGGGGCCTCGGAGGGGGTTCTCTCTCCGGGGTGAGCAGAGCGGGCGCTGGCGGGAGGGGCGGCCGGGGCTCCTCTACTCCTCCTGGCTGCGCGGGGCCCCCGGCCGGTGGAGCACCAGGCCGCCCTCCGGCACCGGCAGGCCCCGTGAGCCCGTGAACGCGGGGCAGACGGCCAGGGCGCCGTCGTCCGAGGCCACCCGGACGAAGGGCCGCAGCGGCCCCGTGAAGGGCGCGCGCGGGCAGCTGTAAAGGTGCGAGCGGTCCCGCGCGTCGTAGAAGGTCACGTCGCCGGCCTCGTGGTCCAGGAACACGGCCACGCGGCGGAGGCGCTGCCGCACGGGCAGCACGCACTCCGGCGAGGCCAGCGCCCGGCAGCGGCCCTCGAAGCTCTCGAGCGCCCAGAAGCCGTGCTGCGGGGCCAGCGGGGCCGCGCCGCGCCGCGCCGCGCCCTCGGCGCACACGCCCACGGACCAGGCGCGCACGTCCCCCACGTCCACCTCCCAGCAGTGCCGCCCGGGGCCCAGGCGCGGCGCGCCCAGCACGCACGGCTGGCAGTCGAACCGGGCGGGGGAGTCGGGCAGGCGCTGCCGCCCCGGGCCCCGCCGCACGCTGCGCCGGTCCGCCGACAGGAACAGCTCGGGGTGCGCCGTGTCCGGGTCCAGCACCACGTCGGCTGCGGAGGAAGCGCCGGTTAGGCGAGGGGTCCCCGAGAGGCCCCAGAAGCCGGAGGGCCCGGCCCTCACTGGGGTGGGATCCCTATGAAGGACCTCATCCCGGCCCCATCCCGGCCCCATCCAGGCCCCATCCCAGGCCCCATCCAGGCCCCATCCAGACCCCATCCCAGCCCCATCCCAGGATCCATCCCAGGCCCATCCTAGGCTCCATTCAGGCCCATCCCAGGCCCCATCCCAGCCCCATCCCAGGCTCCATCCAGGCCGCCCATCCCGGCCCAATCCCAGGCCCCATCCCAGGCCCGGGGGTGGGAACCTCCAACCTGCTCCCACCTGCACGGGTGGACAGCTGGGCTCCAGCGCAAGAGCTGCCAGAGCGGGTCCCCCTCCCCACATCCTGGGGTTCCCGCCCCCATTTTCTCCTCCAGACCCATGACCTCCAGACTCTCTAGCAGGAAACGTTCCTATTGGCTTCCTCCGGCAGAGACCCCGGCCCGCCCCCTGGGAGCCTTAGGACCGCCTTCTCCCCGACACCCGCCGGCGCTTAGACCTCCTGACGGACACGGGCTCCCTCAAAGGGCAGCAGGAGAACAAAGCCCCTAAGCCACTGCCCCGGGAGAGGGGTTCCCAGCCAGCTGTGCCCAACGCCTGGGCCCAGGGGCCTCTCTGGCCCAGGAGGAGCGCCCCTGCCCCCTTCCGTGTCTGAGCCCGCCGCCTCCATTGTGCTAGGATGCCTCCCTCCCTCCCCGTCTTGGTGGCTCAATGGTGACACGTCTGAGATTCACCTAAAGAGGGAAGGTCCAGCCCTGGCGGGGGGTTGGGCTCAGTGGGTAGAGCTCGGCCTGCAGACTCGGACTGAAGGGTCCCGGGTTTATCCTGATCAAGGGCGGGTACTTGGCTCAGGCTGGACCCCAGGCCCTGGTTGGGGCGTGCATGGGGAGGCCCCCAGTGATGTGTCTCCCCCACATCTATGTGCCTCTCCCTCTCTCCCTTTCACACTCCCTACAGGTCAGTGGGAAAATATCCTCAGATGAGGATTAACCATCAGTCAGTCAGTCAATAGGGAAAGGGCCAAGCACCTGGAATCTACTAAAACCTGGCCTCTGATGCCTCTGAGCAGAAGGTGCGGAATCACACAGGAGCTCACCGGGGAGGCAGGTGGATGCTTGCCCTGGTGGGCTCCCCGTGGGCTGCGTACAGCGCCGGGATTTTCGGGCAGGAAGGCATGTCCTGAGGCAGCTCCTGGTAGCCCCCTGCCTGCCTCACCCACAGCTCCCCCCGGTTATAACTGTCTCAGCCAGGAGCGTCCTCGCTCACGTTAATCACGGACCGAAGAGTCACGACCGCGGAAGCATCCCCTCTGGGGAGGTCCGCTCTGCGTGCCTGGCCTCCACAGTCAGGGTGAGTGACACCAAAGAGTGGGGGCGGGAGAGTGGCTCCCCTCCCGCTCCTGCTGGAGGCAGGAGAGCCGATTCCTCGGATGTTAGTGTTCACCCCAGGTCCAAGTCCAGGCCTCGGAGACACACGAGTCCCTCCCAGAACTGGTTTTCGAAGCAGCTGCAGACACACTGACCGAGACGGAGGAACGGGTGATTTCCTCAGTGCACAGTCAGGCGGGCTCAGGGGTTCAGCGTCTGCCGGTGAACCAGGAGGTCCCAGTTCGATTCCCGGTCAGGGCACATGCCCGGGTTGTGGGCTCGATCCCCAGTGGGAGAGGGGGTGTGCAGGAGGCAGCCAGTCCAAGATTCTCTCTCACTGTTGATGTTTCTATCTCTTTCTCCCTCTCCCTTCCTCTCTGTGAAATGAATAAAAACATTATTATTATTTTTTTTAAACAACAAGGGAGAGGAAGATAGCAAAGAGTTGACCCCAGCCCCGGAGTTCCCTGTGGGAAGAGCTGGGATGCCTCCCTGGGTGGGGGTGGGATGCTGCGAGTGAGCTGACCCCAGCCCAGGCCCCCACGCCCTGTGACCCCTCAGCGTACACGTCCCTTTGGCTGGCTGGTGGGGGGAGGCTCAGGAGGTGAGGGACGGCTGGTGCTCACCTGCGTGCAGGAGGCCTCTTCTCCATCCTGCAAGGGGACAGACAGTGAGCTTCCCCGGTGACCGGCGACCGTGGCCAGCAGGAAGCTCACAGCGCACAGGGCCACGTGGGAAATGCCGGACTTACGCAATTCTTCTTGAAGTTGCTCTGAAAAAACAAACAGAAGCACAGGAACGTCCTCAACACGAGCAGCTCTGTGCCGTGAGCCGATGGTAAACAAAGGCCTGACTCTTTCTACGAACCTCCTTCCCCCTTTCCCCACCCCCGCCCCACCTCTCGGAAGCGCCAGGTCCCAGAAAGGAGGTAGGACCAGGTGGCTGGACTGTCTTGGCTCAGTGAGGTTTGCTTTCTTTCAGCAACAGGATGCTCTCTACAGCCAGGTGGGTGGATGCAACATCTGAGGAAAGCGAAAGGGAGCTGTGTGTGTGTGTGTGTGTGTGTGTGTGTGTGTGTGTGACAGGAGACACAGTCCCGAGCCCTGACACAGAACTCTTTGTTCTCTGTCCCCCAGGTGACCTGCCCTTTTATTCCTTCACTTTAAAAAAAAAAATGTATTTTATTGATTTACAGACAGGAAGAGAGAGGGATAGAGAGTAAGAAACATCGATCAGCTGCCTCCCCCCCCCCCACCAATGATGTACGGGAAACCAAGGTACATGCCCTTGACTGCAGTTGAACCTGGGGCCCTTCAGTCCGCAGGCTGACACTCTATCCACTGAGCCAAACCGGTTTCAGCTACTCCTTCACTTTTGTTAGATGTTCTTTCTCTCTTTTCCCACATGCTCTTCCCCCAGTCCTTACGTGCCATTTCTTTCTCTTTATTTTTAAGATCTTTCTCCAGGGCTAGAGCTTCTTTTCTCCTGCGGACTTTCCTGGCGAGACAGATGCTGCCGAGGGTGATGAGGAGGAGGAGCAGAGCAGGCAGGACCACAGCCAGGGCCCCCATCCAGGGGAAGGGAGCCGTGCTGGGGACCAAGGGTTCTGGAAGGGGGCCCAGAGAGGTCCCAGTGAGTGCGGCCAGGGCTGTTCCAGGGAGAGAACCACCACAGGGACGAACGTCAGATTTACCCTCAGAGAAGAGACTCCCACGCCTGGGTCTGTAAAGTATCCGGTGTCCCCCTTGTGATGTGGGGAGAGGCCTCAGCTCGGCTGCTGCCCAGCTCTTCAGGGCCCACATCCTCCCTCTGCAGCCCCCTCCCCACCCCCCACCCTTACCCTCAGCCCCCCTACTCCCCACCCTTTCCCCCCACCCCCACACCCTCCACCCCCTACTCCCCACTGCAGTCCCCTCCCCACTTCCCACCCCCACCCAGCCCCCCTACCCTCAGCCCCTCTTACCCCCACCCCTCCTATTCCCCACCCCCTACCCCCCATTTGCAGCCCCCTCCCCACTCCCCACCCAGCCCCCCTACCCCTAACCCCCCCTACCCCCCCTCCTATCCCCACCCCCTACCCCCCACTGCAGCCCCCTCCCCACTCCCCACCCCCCATTTCTTACCCCCAGCTCCCCCTACCCCCACCCCCCATCTTCCACCCCCTACCCTCAGCCCCTCCATCCCCCACCCCCTCTTCCTCCCACCCCCACCCCCTACCCCCCACCCCCACCTCGCTGGGGCTCCGCTCTGTCTGCTGAGGATGCTGCCCGCTGCCCTCGGCGGGGCCCCCAGAGGGCAGGGAGCTAACCTGGAATGAAGATCACAGAGTCCTTCTCCTGGCCCAGCAGCGTGTTGTTGACGGAGCAGGACATGTTCCTCACGGAGCTGTCCGTGACGATCACGGCCAGGGTGACCCTGAAGAGGCCGTCAGCATCCTGGGCGTAAGCCTCCTCCAGGGCGGGCGTGACCTCGCCGTACGGGTCCCTCCACACGGCGTGCGGCTCAGGGTACCAGCCTTCCGACGTGCATTCCAGCCGGATACCCCCCTCCTCGTGGTCCTGCATCTCGATGAGGGGCGTGGAGCCCAGGCCTGGGACAGATAAAGACTCTACAGTCTGATTCTGAAGCGTGTTCTCAGTAAAGACGCTCAGATCGCTAAGGAGCATCAGCATCATCTGTGGGGCTTAGGAAGCTCAGAACAGGGCATCTCGGAGGGAGGGTGGGGGAGGGCGGTGGGTGGGAGGTGATCAACCAAGGACCTTGTATGCATATGTGCATGGCCCATGGACACAGACAGTAGGTGATGGGGCCTGGGGTGGGGGTGGAGGGCCTGGAGGGGGTCAATGGGGGAAAGGGGATATATGCCACGTTTCAACAATAAAGGTTTTTAAAATCGTTAGGGATTAAACGTTCTCCCTGCTCAAGGATCCCCTGTGTTCTCTGTGCAGCTCAGCAGGGCAAAGCCACTGGTTGGGCCCTGGGGAAGGACGGGGCCGTCCACCGAGGTTGAAGGGCAAAGTCCTACCGGTGGCTCAGTGATTGAGCATCGACCTACGGACCAGGAAGGAGGCCATGGTTTGATTCCCGGTCAGGGCACAGACCCGGGCTGCATATGGGAGGTGTGCAGGAGGCAGCCAATCCATGATTCTCCCTCATCATTGATGCTTCTTTCTCTCCCTCTCCCTTCCTCTCTGACATCAATAAAAAATATTTTAAAAAAAAAAATATATATATATATATTAAGAACAAAACAAAACAAAGCAAAACAAACAAACAAAAAAACCTGATGGGCTGCTGGGGGTCCAAGGTCCAGCTCTTAGGAGCGACAGGACGCACCTGCCACCACCAGGCGCATGGCGGCCTGGTCGTAGGACCGGCCTCGCTGGAAATAGCAGCGGTAGGTGCCGTCGTCGTGGGCTGTGACGTTGTGAATGACGAGGGCCACCCTCCCCTGGCCGATGTCCTCGCTCACAAAGGTGGTCCGTCCGCGGTACTGAGCCATCTGCTCCTCGGGCCGCTCCCGCCCGTCCACATACACCAGTACGGCCGGGGAGAGCCGGGCCCGGCACCACCGCACCTCCATGTCCTCGGCGCTCTTCTCCGGCGACAGGCGGCAGCTGAGCACGGCGCGCTCCCCAACCAGGGCCAGGATGGGCTCCTCGGGCCCCACGACCGTGAACTGGGCTGTCGACAGAGGCACAGGCTCAGGCGGAGCCCCGCCCCCTGGACCTCCAGCCTGGTAGGGAGAGCAGCTGAATCAATCGGGAAAGGAATCCTATTATTTTAAGTCTTAGGCACATGTACTTATGTGCATAGGGGGTAAGGTTCTCACATGTGAACTGGGGGCTACGTTTTTCTTAAGTTTCCTTTCCAAGCCCTGTGCCAAGTGATTGTGAGGTGACTCAGCTGTGAGTCCAGCGAGCAGAACCCATACTCAAGGTCACCAGGAGCCATCTGATCAGCACCATCTCATCGTCTGGGGACTAAGGACAATAACGGGTGGCTGAGACCCCTAGGCCTGCACACAGCGCCCCAGCTCCTCCCCCTTTACACTCCTGTCCCTGCACCTGCTGGAAGACAGCACTTGATGCTTGTAAGCGCTCTGTCTGCTTGGTGGGCTGGCCTTCTCAGTGAACGCCTTATAGACCTCAACCTGCCTTCGTGATTGGACACAGCGACAGGCGGCCCAGCCCGCCTGGGGTGTCCCGGTAACAAAAGGAAGTGGCTCTTCTCGGGGACAGCTATTCCTGGGCTGAGGGGTCTGGGGCCGTCACTGTGGCTGGTCGGAGCTGGAGACGCCTAGTGGTACCTACTGAGGCGGCTAACGCTTGGTGAACACACGGAGCACCTGCAGACCTCGTGCTTAGGGGTGTCTAGGCCCCTCAGTCCAGCCTGGCCTGGGGGAGGTTGGGACTGGAACTGTCCAATAGGGTAGCCACCAGCCAGTCCCAACTGAAACATGCTGTCAGTGTGAAATGCCCATAGCCCTGGCCAGTGTGGCTCAGTGGATAGAGCGTCCACCAGCCCTGTAGGGTCCCAGGTTCAATTCCAACCAAGGACAGGTCCCTTGGTTGCAGGCTCCTTCCCGGTTCTGATTGGGGCACGTGCAAGAAGCAACCAATCAATGAGTTTCTCTCACAGGGATGATGTTTCTGTCTTTTCCTCCCTCTTCTTCTCTCCCTAAAAATCCATGGAAAAATACCCTCCTGTGAGGATTAACAACAATGAACATTGGAATGAGGCCCGGCCGGCCCAGCCAGTTGTGGGGAAGCACGGGACTTGGTTGGAAGGTCCGTAAGGAGGGTTCTCCGAAAGGCTGGGGCCTCTGAGGGGACCTTGCCAAAGGCGGCAGCCCTCCCGTAACTTTTCCAAACACACCCGAGCCCGGGGTGTTTTGCCGGAACCTCTCTGTTAAGTCTTTAAAGACCTGACCTTGTAGGAGCAGGTGCTTTCTCAGGGATACTCACTAGCTGATCGAGCCGAGAGGTGAATTTTAGTTCAAGCTGTTGTGACAATAAAAACCAAGAGGTGGGTGAGCAGGGCTGCTTGGTGGCGACAGCCAAGTAGTGCCTTAGCCTCTCTCCATAGAAACGTGTGTTAGAGCCTCTGTCCATCCGTCTCTCAGGGTGTCCAGGCCCGGCAGCCAATCAACGATTCTCTCTCATCATTGATGTCTCTCTCGGTCTCTCTCTCCTTTCCTCTCTGATAAAGTTTGAATTATATTTTGGCTACTTGGGGGTTATGTGCCTTTCAACTGGGGATGCTGGTGTGCATGAAGGTGTTAGTACACACAGAGGGAAGTGTGGCAGCGCCCCACCTGAGACCAGCGTCCACCTGAGAAAGCCCCACCTGAGACAGCGTCCACCTGAGACCAGCGTCCACCTGAGAAAGCCCCACCTGAGACAGCCCCACCTGAGACGGCCCCACCTGAGACAGCGTCCACCTGAGACGGCCCCACCTGAGACGGCCCCACCTGAGATGGCCCCCATCTGAGACAGCGTCCACCTGAGACGGCCCCACCTGAGACGGCCCCACCTGAGACAGCGTCCACCTGAGACGGCCCCACCTGAGATGGCCCCTACCTGAGACCAGCGCAGACAGACTTTGGAGGCCAAGGAGGGGGAAGAAGAGCAGGGGGTCCGGCAGGGAGACACGCAGGGAAGCTGCAGACTCCATGGCGCCCAGGACCAGTCACTGGGGAGGCCTAGGTGCAGGCCAGGGCACAGACCTGGGGAGCGGGCAGAGGCCTGGCACCACAGTCCTCATCAGCAAACACCTTTGACTCGTGTTGGTGCCATCAGAGCCCCCACCTGTGTCCTGGGCATCCCTTCCTCTCCGGTTCAGTGTTCAGGGTCCTCCCCACAGACAGACTCCGAATGTTCCATGGCCTGAGCCAGTGAACCTCTGTCCCCTGCTGGCTCACTCTCAGCTGGAGCTCAGTTTTCACAGGGTTACCTGATAGCTTTTGGTCTCCTTCTCCCTGCTCCTTCCCTCTCCTCCCCTCCTCCTTCACCTCCTCCTTTCCCCTCCTCCCTCTCCCTGTCCCCCTCCTTCCCCCTCTTCCTCCCCCTCCTCCCTTCCCCCTCCACCCTTCCTTCTCCTCCTCCTCTTCTCCCCTCCTCCCTCTCCCTGTACCCTTTCTCTTCCTCCTCCCCCTCCTCCCCCTCCCCCTCCCCGTCTTCCTCCTCCCCCTTATCCCACCCCCTCCGCTGTGTGCCCCCCGGAAACCCCCCCCTCCCAAGCCCCTCTCTGGGACCCGCCCTGCACCAGGCTCCCTCCGGCCCCACGGAGCCCTCAGGCACCTGTAGAACTGAGGGACTGACTGTTTCCTCTGTCACCTGCCCACGGGCTCAGGCAGGACCAGGAGCAAACCGTCCCACCGTGGGGAGGAAAACTCCCCTTTTTCCCCCAACAGGGGCAGGGAGCGGGGCTGAGGGACTGGGGGGCTGGGGGGCTGGGAGGCTGGAGGATGGAGGCTGGGGGGCTGGGGGCCTGGGTGGCTGGGTGACCTCCTGGTTCAGGGGCTGCCGCTCAGCCGGAGCCGGCCTTTCCTTTGGAGAAAAATGGAGTTTGTGCCTCAGTCTTGCCAGGCCCTGTGGACTGTGGCGTTACTGCTGTGAAGACAGAGGCCCAGGTACACGTGTGTGTGATTGGGGTTGGAAGTGGACAGGGGCTGAGGTGAATGTAAGCATCCCTTCCCCAAGCCCAGGAATCTCTGCAGAGTCGCTGGGCTGGTGGGGGGCTGGCAGGTGAGGGACTCAGGGAAGGTTGCGGGGAGAGAACAGAGCCAGCAGCTGCCATGGAGGCCTGTGCCTCTGAAACCACGGAGTGAGACGGAGGAGGTTGGGAGGAGGAAGCCCTCTCCCTGTGAGATGGCATCCGTGCCCGCAGGCCATGGCAGGCCAGGTGATGTCTGGTGGGCCCAGCATTCCTCCATCCACCCAATGCTCCCTTCCTGGGCCCCACAGATCTCAATCAGTCATTGTGTGCATTTCTCCTACAATAACCTTCCAACGGAACATTTCATAGCGTTCCCCACCTGTGCCTCAATGCATTCTCTGGAGACCGCTAATTTCCTTTCAAGTTCGACACTGCAGTCAGCACACGAGCAACAGCCATACCAGCAATTATTCCAGGACTGAATCTGTTCCCCTGACCATTGCCTTCACCTGACTTGTCCCTCACATCTGCCTCCTGGGACAACTCCGGATGCTCCTGGCCTGGAGGGTTCCCAGCTTCTTCTGACCCCCCGCAAGGAATGGCACCCTCCGTCCCTCCACTGCAGGGAACTCAATTCTGCCAACAACCAGAATTAGCAAAAATCAGACTGCTCCCTAGACCCTCCAGAAAGGAGCCCGGCCTGCAGACACCTGGGAGTCAGCCCAGCCATGGCCACACTGGGCTTCTCACCTACAGAAATGTGAAGTGTGGAATCAGTGCTGCATTAGGCCATGAAGTTTGTGGCTTTATTACAGCAGCATACACAGCTAATACAAGAAGGATTTTGTGAAAATGTGGTGAGTAAACTGGGGTGAACATCTAGAAGAAGCTCATTTGCAGAGAAAAGATTTATCAATAATTTATTTAACAAATGCAACCTGACAACCACCTGCCGGGTGGAGGGGACACGGTGGTGACCAATCACAGTGATGGTGATGGAGTGGCTCTTCCCCAGGACCCAACAGTTAAAGAACCTCTGGGAACATCAACACATGCTCAGTGTGGAGTGTCCCTTTCCTGGAGATGGGGCTACAGTGTGAGAAAAAGTCCACTGCAGTGCACCTGGCTCCTCCCCCAATTCATGCCTCACACGTGAGCTTCAGGGATGAAGATGAGAGGTTGGTTGGGCTTCATGGTTACAGGTCACAAGCTGGTGAGGAGTATGACCTCTGGTCCCTCCTCAGCCCCCTGTGATGTGGTCACTGTGAATTCCTTCTGTGGACGACGTCATCATGGCCAGCCAGCCAATGGAGCAGTGGGCCATGGCTCTGACAGTCCCCCTTGAAGGAACCAGGTGGGGTGTGGCCTTCACAGTCACCTACAGTGATTTTTACCCTGGGGCCCAGAGAAGGGAACCTCAGGCTGCCCAGGATCCTTCCCAACAGGAACAACTGGCTGCAAAGGAACAGACTGGAGGTGGAGGGAGGGTCAGAGGTCAAACAGCTCCCAGCAGCACTGCTTCCTGCATGAATTACATGTCACTTCCCTGGGCCCTGCCTCCCTTTCCACACATTTAATGCGGCCACCTCACAGGGTGCTGTGAGGATTGGTGAGTAAGTCACCTGAAGCCTTTAGCCCAGCACCCACCACCTTCTAAGGTATCTGTGAGTGTGAGCTATGGTGGTAGGAAGGGAACTGAGTCACTTTTGGAAAGTTAACTTCCTGCACCCAGGTCTCCTCATCTGACATATAGAAAAGTTAAAAGATAACCAGTAAAGTGCTTCACTCAGTGATTTTTTTTAGCAAGGATGTTCCTGCTGGGAGGTTTTGTTGTTAAGTAGCCCCTCAGCTCGGGCATGGGCAAGCAAAGGCTGTAGTTCTGCCTGAGGGTCCTCATTGCCATCAGCTGGGCCTGAGGCCACTCGGGTCCCCAGGGAAAGGCCAGGCAGTGGGCTAGACACAAGGGAATTCCCTACACATTCTTGTGCTGGGCAAATGGTCAAGGCAGTGGGCTCCTCTGAGAAAAGCTTGAAAACAGGCCACAGAGCCCCAGAGAAGGAAGCATGTGAGAAAGTGAAGATGTGCGATCCATTGATGGCATCATAGAAGGAGACCTCCCCGTTCTCATAGTCCAGGAAAACCCCCACTCTTTTGGGAGGGTTGGCAATTGTGAGTTTGCTCCGGGGATCCGTTCGAGCCTGGAAGTCATGCCCACCCAAAAGTGCTATTGTCCAGAATCCATTCTGGGGTGTTATTGCAACATAATATTTTCTCTGCACATTCTCTCTGCACACCCCGAATTGCCATTGTTTCCTCTCTTCCACTTCCACCTCCCAGAAGTGTCTGCCTGACGTGAAGCTCTCACGGCCCAGCACGCAGTAACGATCCTGAAATCTCTTGGGGTTTTCTGGCAGGTTCTGCCATGTACTTGTGTACTGCAAGCTCCGCTGGTCCTCAGAAATACGGAGGTTGGGGTGCGCGGTGTCTGGATCCAGAATCACGTCGGCTGCACAGAGTTCCAATGATGTACAGTCAGTTATGGTTTCCGAACCTGAAAGCCTCAGACTCCAAGGCTTGGGTCTGGGTGGTGAGACCCAAGCCCAGAGCCTGGGGTCCCAGCTGCCCTGAGTGTGACCCTCAGCAAAGCAAGAGAAACCACAGGGCCTGGTGTTCAGTGAGGAAGGGGAGGGTGAGGAGGGCTTGGTCTGCCTAACCCGCATCTCAAGTGGCCCCTTGAGGAAGCATGTGGTGTGATCGTAGCGACCAGGTCTCTGCTGTGCTGGGGCCATGCTGGGCTCTAGGTGACCTTCACTCCCCACCTGCCCCTCCTCTTTTCCCAGGAATCTGGCCCCCTTGGGCAGCATCACTGGGCTCACTGCCTCTGGTCACCTGTTGGCTTTGGCCAAGGCCAGGTACTGGCTGAGAACTAAATGGAGGGAAAGCGAGTCATAGCCCCAACTTCCCTACTTCCTGTGATGGAGATGCTCCAACAGAGCACACCTCATCCCAGGCAGCCTCTCCCTGAGCCCCAGCCTCCTCAGCGTCCAGTGACTGCTAACCATCCCTCTGCCTTGGGTCTGAGGGTGGTAACAGCTCCCACTGTTGTGAGCCTGGGGCACTGCTCATCCTTGTGGTTTCCCTTAACGCTACCCCGGCCTCTGCAAGTAGGCCCTTTCCTGGACCCTCTGTAATCACTGGGTAGATGTGGGTGAATCAAATGAATTCCATCTCTTTGTCTGGGACTTCCTTCATTTTTTCAAGCTGTGTCCTTTGACCATCCTCACTGTCCTTAGTATGCACACCAAAGCCTTCAGGGTGATGGTGATATGTGTTCCATAAAATGCAGCCATAAACAGTTTTGTTAGTAACACTAGAATGACATGACCACGGAGGTCAACACCAAATTTGATGGTATCCCTTATAAGGAACCACCCACCACAAGACCACAGGAGGGATGATTGGTGCTGCCACACTCCTTGTCCCTTTGTCCTGTCCATCTTTAGTACCCAAATTTTACTGTAAAACAACGTACTGTAACAGGTCTGTCAGTGGTGAAAGTCTGTGCAAACTGATATGTAGTCTGTCCAGCCCACCCCCACACACCTGTGAGTAAATGACTTCTATAACACAGTCTATTATAACACCTAACACCTACATCAGTTTTAAAAGTTCTTAAGAACCTTCTCCTGACTGTGGTCATACTGTCAGACACACACCCTTCATGAACAGGCCAAGGTTTCACTCTTGGAGTTTTGACCAACACACACTCATCACCTCGTCTAGTCTTACCTCTACTGTCACATAGTAAAAATAACCACCATTATCTCAAAGGGACTCAGAGGCATGGCACACCTTGAGGAGGCTCAGGGAAGAAGAGGCATCAGCTGGGCCAGGTCACCTTCTCCATCTCTTTCCAGCCCCTGCCCCCAGCTGTACACCTCATGCCTCCTCCATCCCACATGGACTTTGGGAAGCCCAGGACAGCAGCTGTCCCTGGCTCTCTGGGAGGCACATGG